TATTTTGGACATCCTCGGGGTAAATGCAAAATAAATGCAAAAACGGCATAGTATAGGACCTATACTATTCTTTCACACACAGTGACGTCACGAGCTACCCACAATGCAACACGAGCCATATATATATATTAGGGCTGTCAGTCGATTAAAATATGTAATCGCGATTAATCGCATGATTGTCCATAGTTAATCGCGATTAATCGCAAATTAATCGCACATTTTTGATCTGTACCTTAGAGGAATATTTTTCAAGTTTTTAATACTCTTATCAACATATGAGTGGACAAATATGCTTTATGCTAATGTTTATTATCATTTGAACAATGACAAATATTCTCATGAATATTAAACACAACAACCTCTGAACATTACAAATATTCACCTCAATTCAACCTGGAACCTAATGTGTGTGTGTGTGTGTGTGTGTGTGTGTGCGTGTGTGTGTGTGTGTGTGTGTGCGCGTGTGTGTGTGTGTGTGTGTGCGCGCGTGTGCGTGTGTGTGTGTGTGTGTGTGTGTGTGTGTGTGTGTGTGTGTGTGTGTGTGTGTGTGTGTGTGTGTGTGTTGTGTGTGTGTGTGTGTGTGTGTGTGTGTGTGGTGTGTGTGTGTGTGTGTGTGTGTGTGTGTGTGTGTGTGTGTGTGTGTGTGTGTGTGTGTGTGTGTGTGTGTGTGTGTGTGTGTGTGTGTGTGTGTGTGTGTGTGTGTGTGTGAGATGGATCGTTGGAGCTATGTGCAACTCAAGGCATATGCTCGAACGGGAGCTGCCTGGACTCTGCAATCATGTTGCGCACTATCCGTGCTGAGTGTGCTGACTTTTCGTACAATGTCCCACTGTCTGGCTTCCTGCATAAAGTCAAGTGCTCGGCGCAGTTGTGGCGAAATGTCGCTCCTCTGTTTTCATCGAAACAGCGCCTTATATCCGTTAGCGCAGCTAGCTAGCACCAGATGCTAACAACAACAATGCACGTAAGGTCTCTCTCTCGCTCGCTCGGGCCACACATACACACGCCCTCCCGGTCCTCCCAATAGCCAGTCGGTGCCTGCCGGTGAGCGTGGAAGTGTGGTCTGCCACAAGCGGGCGGCAGGAGCGGGGCTGTCAGCATCAGCTTGTAGATGATATTTTAAACTCGATGCGTTCTGAAACTACGGGGCGGTAGAGGAAAAAAATACACATGCGTTAATCGCGTTAAAATAATTAGTGGCGTTAATTTTTGTTTTGTTATTAACGCGTTAACTTGACAGCCCTAATATATATATAAATACGCCATTTTCATGGAGGTGCAAATATCCTGGAAGTGCAAATATAAACACCTAGCTAACGTAGCTAGGCAGAGCGCACTCGTTTTTTTTTCTGAATTAACGACCGAAGAAATCGCTGCATGTCTTCGGATTACATCTCTGGACTTGAGGGGTGTGCTCTAGGTCGTTACCAGCGTAAACTAGAGCTGTGTGGGTTGTCGGATTGCCCCTTACAGACTGACTGCAGATGTATGCATCTACGTCTAATTTCTGGAAACACCGGGGGCCTGTACTACGAAGCTGGTTCAACCTAACCTGGATATGTTTGAGTTAGCCGGTTGGCCTAATCCAAAACATACGCGCTGTCGCTAAACTGTACTACGACACTGGTTATCAAGTGGATCGCTCAAGCCAGCCGTGTCCTATCTAGTTAGGTGCGCGTTCACATGAAAGGGGTGGCATTTGGAGCATTCGACCAATCACAAACATGGAGAAGCGTACTGACAGCGCAGCGTCATACTTCCTGAATGAAAAGTGAACTTTAATACTAGTCAAATATGAAGAAGTTAAACTTTAAACATCCATGTCTTAAACACTTTATCCAGGATAAAAGCCACACCTGCAAGGTGAATACAGCTGGTAAAAGAAAAAGTGTTTGAATGCGTACATTAACAGGTTTATGATATCACTGCCCCGTCTAAAACACGATCTGACTTTAATTACATTTGTCTCGAGTGTTTCGTCAACTTAATGTGTTGCTTAAAATAATACTTCTGCATACAGTATGTGACACTGTGAGTGTTGCACGGCCAGATACGGCTCAGCTGACTCAGATAAGGAAATATATGATACATTATGATGTGATATAATGTGATATGAATGATAATGGGACACATCGACGTCTGCACTCAGTGTAGGCCTACTTATGTTGTGGCAGATATTTAAGTAAGCTTTCTTAACGCTAATGTTATAATAGTCAGATTGCTCTGAAGATGGGAGGTGATATTCTATTCATTTTCACACAGTCGGTGATTTTTGCCGGCCGTCTTTCCTGCAATGGCAGTTTTTCTGTATTTCCTTTCTCCTGTAATATGACTTGATCACTTTAAACTCCGCACACTGAGCTCTGATTGGTCAGCAGGCGGTGCTTTCACTGAGTTGAGCTCTACGGAGCCTACACACGGCGGCGTGCGTTGCCGCTTCAACGCTTCTGCCCATTCACTTTGAATGGGGTGACGTCACGATTCGCCGAACTGCATTGTGGGAGCAAAGCGTAGCTTTTCTCGTGGTGCTCGCTGCAAAAGTAGAGCAATGTTCTACTTTTGCCGCCTCGACGGAGGCGTCAGCCAATCAAATCCCGCGTATGCAAATCTGACATTACAAGCGCTAGCCAATCAAACCGCGTGTATGTTGGGAGAGCCAGACCGCAGTTATTTCCCATATGTCAAAAAATGGAGGAGAAAATGATCGTGGCGGTACTATATGACCAGTCCCTCTTTACATACAGCGATACAAACCGGAGGAGCCAGGCATGGGGGGAGGTGGCAGAGACAGTGGGTGAAACTGGTAGGTGTTCGGCTGTTTGGGGAGTTTATATCCAGTGTTCTTCGTTTGAATGGACAGCTAGCAAGCATAGACAGTATATTTAGCCAGCATGGATGTAGCATTAATTCTTTGCTTTGTATGTCCGGGGCGGGACATTCATGTGATTGGTTGTTGGTCGCGTTGTTCGTAAAAAATCCCCAAGCTTCAGACACGCCCACCGCCAAGCGGTAACGCACGCCGCCGTGTGTAGGGGCCGTTAGCCTGCAACCTAACCTGGTCCCGACCTGGGGGGTATACTACGAAGCAGGATTTTCGTTTAGCAAGACAACTTCTGGGATTTCCGGTACTACGAAGCTGGTTCACTTTTTAGCGGGCTAGATCTCCATGGTGACTTATCCTGGAACCTAGCCTGTGCTCCGAAGCCGGATATGTTCCAGGATAAGAGATCAACTCAGCGAAAGCACCACGCCTGCTGACCAATCAGAGCTCAGTGTGCGGAGGAAATACAGTTTTTAACTGCCGTTGCAGGAAAGACGGCCGGCCAAAATCACCGACTGTGAACGTGAAAATGAATAGAACATCACCTCCCATCTTCAGAGCAATCTGACTATAATAACTATTATACTATTATGTTAAGAAAGCTTAATTAAATATCTGCCACAACATAAGTAACCGGATCAAAGTAACATTACGTTGCCTACAGTCCGCGGCACTGTGTGCAGATGTTGATATGTCCCATTATCATTCATATCACATCATAATGTATCATATATTTCCTTATCTGAGTCAGCTGAGCCGTATCTGGCCGTGCAACACTCACAGTGTCACATACTGTATGCAGAAGTATTATTTTAAGCAACACATTAAAGGTGGGGTAGGTAAGTTTCAGAAACCGGCTCGAGTGCGCTAAAATTTGAAAGTACACAGCCGAAAAGAATCCGCCGCTTCCTTCAGACGTCCTTACAGAGCACCTCCTCCAACACACATGGAGGCGCAATGCACGCCCAATGAGGGCACGAGATACATTTGTGCGTGCACGAGATGGAAGGCTGACAGACAGGGCGGCTAAACGGATTGGTTGTACTTTTTACAGTATTATGGGTTCCACAGATGACTTTTTTTTATGGGTTTTTTGTCAAAGCACTTAAGATATTCATTGCTATCGGGATGTTAAGAGCATTCTATGGAATATAACAACAAGTGTATCACGAGCCGGTTTCTGAAACTTACATACCCCACCTTTAAGTTGACGAAACACTCGAGTCAAATGTAGGCCTAATTAAAGTCAGATCGACTCGTGTCTTGGACGGGGCAGTGATATCATAAACCTGTTAATGTACGCATTCAAACACTTTTTCTTTTACCAGCTGTATTCACCTTGCAGGTGCAACTGTGTGGCTTTGATCCTGGATAAAGTGTTTAAGTCATGGATGTTTAAAGTTTAACTTCTTCATATTTGACTAATATTATAGTTTCATTTCACTTTTCATTCAGGAAGTATGACGCTGCGCTGTCAGTACGCTTCTCCATGTTTGTGATTGGTCGAATGCTCCAGATACCACCCCTTTTATGTGAACGCGCACCTAACTAGATAGGACACGGCTGGCTTGAGCGAACGAGTTGATAGCCAGCGTTGTAGGACAGTTTAGCGACAGCGGCTTCGTGTTGGATTAAGTCAACCGGATAACTCAAAACATATCCAGGATAGGTTGAACTAGATTCGTAGTATACCCCCCAGGTTAGCCGCTAAGCATAAGTTAGCCTGCTAAAAAGAGAACCAGCTTCGTAGGACCGGAAAGCCGGAGTTTTCCCTGAATTTAGCCGGCTAAGCGAAAATCCTGCTTCGTAGTATACCCCCCCGGTGAATTCCCCACTTGTCACAATAATATTATCATGCCATTGCATATATGTGGTATTTTAGAGTTGACTAGATATTGATTAAGGCAATAGACAATGATATTCAGTACAGGAAGCTTAGCAACACCTAGACGGTGTACGGCTAAACCCTTGGCTTGCTTGCACCTCGCGTAAAACGGCGGATACCGGAAGTACGGTGTCGCGCTCGGCCCAATACCCGTATGTGTGTGTGAAAGAATGCCGTTTTTGCATTTATTTTTTACACACTTATGTTGTTTTCTTTTTATATTTTTGAAAAACAATACTGGATTACACAAAGAAGAATGTCGGAACTGTTTTCTTATCGTATCACTGCCATATCACTGGATTCAATCCCCTCAACAATGTTTTATTTAGTTCAAATGAAGGACAGACATACTTAAAGGCAATGGAGGATGATGACTTCACATAGCAGAAGACAGAAAGACATTTTCTTCCCTTTGAACATGACGGACAACTCATGGTTTGTCTGAATTCTCAGGTGAGATTTGAGTACATTAACACCGTATACTGCACTTTCAGTTAAAATAGGACTAAACCATAGAATACAAATGCATTGCATCATTAACAGGTCCCTGTGGTCATGTGCAGTGCCTCACAGGCACATGATGTTGAAGAGGCATATATATATATATATATATATATATATATATATACACTGCATATTAAAATAACAAGGCAATCCTTTATAATAGAGGTAATTAAATAATGTGATGAAGCAAATGTAACAGTATCCACAATATGTCTCGGAGTCTTTGAATATCCAGGAATTCCAGGATTCATCTGCATGTGAACGAGGGCGTCTGTGGCAGCATTTCAGTTTTGTAAACAAGTCAGTGGAGTCTGAGGGCTTCAACGTGGTAAACAGTACTATAAAGTCCTTCTTTTGACCCACACAGGAGCCCCAGTGAGGATGAGACTGCTGCTTCAGGGCTATTCACTTTTGTCCATCTCTGTCAGCACACAGTAGCCAATGTGCTGAGTGCAGTGAGTGAGGGAACCTGCAGGGAGAAGAGAGGACAGCATGAGAGGGGGGAGAGGGGGGGGGGCAGCTGAAGAGTGCATGAGGCCTGTACTACGAAGCAGGATTTTCGCTTAGCGGGCTAACTTCAGGGAAAACTCGGGGTTTCCAGTCCTACGACGCTGGTTCTCTTTTTAGCGGGCTAGATCTCCCATGGTAACTTATGCTGTGCGGCTAACCTGCCCCAGAGCAGGTTATGTTGCAGGCTAATAGCTCAACTCAGTGAAAGCACCGCCTGCTGACCAATCAGAGCTCAGTGTGCGGAGTTTAAAGCGATCAAGTCATATTACAGGAGAAAGGAAATACAGAAAAGCTGCCGTCGCAGGAAAGACGGCCGGCAAAAATCACCGACTGTGTGAACGTGAAAATGAATAGAATATCACCTCCCATCTTCAGAGCAATCTGACTATTATAACATTAGCGTTAAGAAAGCTTACTTAAATATCTGCCACAACATAAGTAACCGGATCAGAGTAACATTAAGTACAGTCCGCGGCATATCACTTCATAATGTCATAATCATATTTCCTTATCTGAGTCAGCTGAGCCGTATCTGGCCATGCAACACTCAGTGTCACATACTGTATGCAGAAGTATTATTTTAAGCAACACATTAAGTTGACGAAACACTCGAGTCAAATGTAATTAAAGTCAGATCGTGTTTTAGACGGGGCAGTGATATCATAAACCTGTTAATGTACGCATTCAAACACTTTTTCTGTTACCAGCTGTCACCTTGCAGGTGCAGCTATGTGGCTTTTATCCTGGATAAAGTGTTTAAGACATGGATGTTTAAAGTTTAACTTCTTCATATTTGACTAGTATTAAAGTTCACTTTTCATTCAGGAAGTATGACGCTGCGCTGTCAGTACGCTTCTCCATGTTTGTGATTGGTCGAATGCTCCAGATACCACCCCTTTCATGTGAACGCGCACCTAACTAAATAGGACACGGCTGGCTTGAGCGATCCACTTGATAACCAGCGTCGTAGTACAGTTTAGCGACAGCGCGTATGTTTTGGATTAGGCCAACCGGCTAACTCAAACATATCCAGGTTAGGTTGAACCAGCTTCGTAGTATAGGCCTCTGGTGAGTGCAGGATGTGCAGTGCACTCACGCAGCAGCTTGGTGACGATGGGGGGCCGTTTGGACTCTGGTTGGTAGATGCCCAGGAAGTAGACGGGGACCCCTGACAGGGCGATGCCAATGCCAATCAGGGAGTTGATGGTGTCGCAGTAGAGAGGGACCGCCACCAGGAACACAGTACACATGCAGAAAATCACCGGGTACACCAGAGACAGCTTTAAGGAGAGAAACACAAGACAAGAATGGTTAGTCTTCATTGGCTCTGACATGACAGAGTCACAGGGTCATTGGAAGTAAAGACAACATTTAGCCTGAGGGGAGTCATATTCTGGATAAAACGGAATTCTGCAGATTAAAGTTATACATTTATAAGAAACAAACTTTGATATTCTACGAAATTAAAGTGGTAAAACCCCCCTCCAAAAAGAAATACAAAATGTGAGGTAATATCTTGAATATTCCCTAAACTTATAAAATCATTCATAGATCAAATATTGAATATTCCCAAAAATGTTCAAATGAAACATTTAGAAGAAAAAATATCTATTTATATTTAAGAGGGGACAAAAATGAAAATTCTCTGAGATAATTAAATGAAGCATTTAGAAGAAAAAAAATCAATCTTGAACATGATATTAAAATCCTTATTTAGGAGATAATAAAGAAAGGGTCTTACTTTGAGAGGTCGGGGTCTGTCGGGCTCCTTCCAGCGCAGGTAGATCTGCCCGGCGATGGACAGCCCCATGAAGAACCAGTAGCTGAAGCTGTAGTAGTTGATGAGCTGGAACACATCCTCCACTGTCAGGTAGATCAGAGACATGATACACTGCACAGAGGACAGAGGAGGAAGGGAGACATCAAACAGTGAGTTACAGTCTCAAACACTCCATTTTAGGGCCTCTTTAAGGCTTTAAACTCTTAAGACAAGACCTCACACTTTTGCCATAAATGATGCAATATGTATAACACAGCCAAACCAGGCGATAACTTAAAAAGCTAAAAGTATCCCTAGTGATTGATGTGGGCTAAATTGGAGTTTCCTGTTCTTCCTCTGCTAGAATCCAATAATAATGGATCTGTTTTCGTACATTGAAGATGAGAGCGGGGATGGGGGTGAACCTCTCTATGTGGATCATGGAAAGAGCATCTGGGAGGTGACCCTCACGAGAGCCCACGAAGAACAACCTGCCGTAAGAAACAGAAATGAAGACGGAGAACACTGAGGGAAAGATATTATTGAATTGTGGTGCTCATAGTACCTGGAGGCAGCTATAATGGAGGCATTGAGTCCTCCGTAGCAGGACAGAGCCACAGCGATGGGGATGGTCCAGCTCATCACACCCAGAGTGTGATCTGCAAATGTCTGAACACACACACATTTCTCTGTCTCATCTGCTTATGAGTGGACGGGCTTTTTCTTAGTTCCTTTATTTATTTTATCTGTGAAACCGGTGGGAAACATTTTGCCCTAATCATTTTGCTAAATTACTCTTTTTTAAATTGATATGATTAAAATAAATGTTTAGCTAAAATAAAGAATAATATCTATATTTTTTTAATATGACAGTAATGTTACATACCATAGTAAAAATGTATCAAGAAATGAAAACTCACCTGGAAGTAAACATGAACGCTTTGAGTCCCATTTAGAATATAGCGTGGGTGTGCACGTTAGCCTTATGTCGCCAAATGAGAACTACAACAAACAATATATATATAAGGCTAAAATAATTGTTCTCACTGGCTTTCAAAGAGGAAATAAAAGCTTAATAATCTTTACATTTTTTCTTTTACATAACTAAAGAAAAAGTATCAGATGAAAAAAGGATAATGAATGAACTTAGAAATATGATACCGTACGGGCATACACTCTCTTTCAGCTTTTCTTTAGTCATAAACAAAGGAAAGAAATATCAGAAAATGAATGATACCTATCTTTCTCTCGTGCCTCTCAGGGGCTTCATCACAGCTGCTTAACTCACCACTGCCACTGCATCACTGGCCAGTATAGCACTAGCATCCAGCACAGCATAGTAGGCCACGTTAGTGAGGATGTAGATGATGGTGACGATGGGCATAGAGATGGCGATGGCCAAGGGCAGGTTTCTGAAACACACCGCATCGGATTATTAGCTGGCTCTTTACGTATTGGGTCCACACCTTCTACAGAAAATGAAGCACCAAAGTTACTTTTCAGGGTTTTTGATCTCCTCAGTGACAAAGTTGAGAGTGTCCCAGCCCGAGTAGGAGAAGAGGGCAGAGTAGAGCGCCAGCGCGATGTGGCCAGGGTCTGTAGACGATCCCTCAAAGGATGATTCAAAGTTGGCTGTGTTACCTAAGAGAGAGACACAATAATTAAAGATACTTTTGATACAACATGATCATAATTCTGTGCATTGATCCTATAATCCCACCGTCGATGGATCCTGGGATTTCAAACTTCCTGTAAAGTCAGTGTGGTGTTCAGCCATTAACTGAAGGAACCTGCCACATGAGGTACGAGAGGGTTCCCTGTGGCTATAAGGACTGAAAACAATTCTTAAATAATCCACTTCAGACTGGTAAGGTTGTATGAAATGTAAAGCAATTCCTGTGCTTAATTTTATATTTAAAATGTAAGTTTGCAAGAGCCGGGTGATATGATGGTGTCTTCTCAATAGTCATGCATGATGAAATCATATATGAAGATAACATGATACTGCTATGGTGTTTATATTGATAATAACAGCCGATGGTGGATTTGTTTTTACGTTGCGCTTTACATTACCCATAATACAATACAATACAGCTCAGGACATAATAATGGGGGATATATATATATATATATATAATAGTGTGTGTACCCATTCGGAAACCAACATTTTGGTTTAAACAACAGGGTTGTAGTGCTCGATAGTGGAGTGGAGTACCATAGTGTAATGACAAATATTCAGTTTTCTCTTAATGCTTCATCTGTCACTCAGTATATGCATGCTTGTAAACATATTTATATATTTTTTAATGTATTTAATTTACTTCATGGTTCAAGTTCTAAATTCAAATTAGAATGTACTTCTCATTTACCGAGTATTTTATAAACATAGGAGTAAACAAAACAAGGCTCTACCATGGGGTTATTTTATATTGAATATGTAATTATTGACTATCCAGAAGAAAAAAAAAATGCTATATATTATTGTATATCATTTTATGGTGATATGAAATTGTCTATATGAGTATAGAAGATACTAATATGTTCAAAACTCATATAGACAATTTCATATCACGATATCACCAGTGGCGAACTGTCAGGGCCTTCAAGGTATTCAGAGAATACCCTGGAGCACTCAGAGACAACAAACAAAAAATCCATTTAATTATATAAATAAAATGTATATAAAATGAATAAATGAGAATGGTATCTGTGTTGATCTGTAATATTACAGTGTGACGTTGATTTGTTTGTCCTTCTCGGACCATGCACTACGCATTTCAGTGGTTTTGTGTTAGAAAAGAAAGCAACCAATCAGATCTTGTTCTGGGTCTCTGGGTAGAATATCCTTCACCAAGATATTCTACATCCTTGATAGAATGCCCTGGCCGTTGCACTGAATGAGAGCGTACGCTTGGACTGACAGTTTGATCAACCAATCATATATTGATTTGTAGCCAATGGGCGTATTCTTTCAGAGTTCCCCTCGGTTCCAGGGTATTCTAGAAGGCCCGCTAGTTCACTGGCTCTAGACAGAGGATCTAGATGAATGCGACGAAGCAATTCATGCCGTTTTATTGTTTTTAACGTTGAAATGCCAAGTGCAACAGGTGAAGATGAAGTTGTTGCGGAATTGTTGTGAGTACCCTTTTCAAGACGACAATTCAGTGAAAAGACGGACATTATAACGGGGGGTGTGTGTGTATACAGAAGGTCCAGTTGTGATAGACACGGTTCACCAATGTATTAGTCATTAACCCAGCTTTAAATCTGAGCATGTCTTAAAACAAAGAACACTGAAAAGGTACATGTTGAAGAGACATCACTGACCCTGGCACAGCTTGGCGATGCCTGTGATGATGATGACGATGAGGGCTGCCACCTTGGCGTAGGTGAAAGTGTCCTGCACGCGCGTGCCCCACTTCACATAGGCAGAGTTAATGAACGTCAGTAGACCTGGGGGAAGACAGAAATACTTCAGAGATGCTCTTTGTATTTACTCCTCCAGGAACACAGACATGAGCAGACAGCACTCACATATACAGGCGGCAGCGATGAGCCTGGACGCTGCGTACGGCGGCTCACACGTCGGGAAGAGCGGCTGCACCAGGTAGTTTGCAAACGTAATGGCTATGACCGCCTGGCTGGTGGGCTCAATGATCAACAGAGAGGTCCACAGACGAATGAATGCAATGAAGCCTCCAAATGACTCCAGGATGTACGCATAAGAAGCCCCTGATTTGGTGATGGTGGTGCCCAGCTCAGCGTAGCAGAGGGCCCCTATCACAGAGAAGATCCCCCCGATGGCCCAGATGACCAGCGACAGCCCGTAGGAGGCGCTGTAGATCAGCACGCCCTTGGGGGAGACGAAGATGCCGGAGCCGATCATGTTCCCCACGATCAGGCTGACTCCGTTGAGCAGCGAGATCTCCTTCTTCAGCTGCATGCTCTCTTTGGGAGCCTCCTCACGATGGGAGGAGCCGTTCATCTTCTGGGATTCTTCGTGGTCGGCCATGGTACCGCCGTCTCAGACCCTCACAGACGTGGACGCTGCAGACTGAAGTCCCTGCCTGGCAACCTCTGGAGCAACCTGTCCAACACACATAGATGTAACAAGTCATTGTTGGTGACGCGGAGAGGAGCTGAATGCCAGAGTGGTGAGTCAGAGGAGTTGCTACAGTAAATGTAATCTCTAGTGTGTGTAACAGGGGGGAGAGAAAGGTCATGAGCAGAGAGCGTTGGGATGAACAGGTAACAGAAAGGGCAGCGAGGGTGGAAACGTACCAGCCTGAGGGAGAGTTAGGATGTTTTAAAGTGGGGTTGTATGAAGTACTTTTCTAAAGTCCATTACCTACAACCATAGGCGGCGCGTGAGGCTCAGGTTTGGGAAGGCTAAATAACTTTTTTTACCTGACGCTGCCCGCGTCCGGCGTCTATAGAAAAGAGATCAACTCAGTGAAAGCCTGCTGACCAATCAGAGCTCAGTGTGCGGAGTTTAAATCTATCAAGTCATATTACAGGATAAAGGAAATACAGTTTAAACTGCTGTATGCAGAGAAGACGCCGACGTGTCGCACTTATCATTCATATCACACTGACATCACATCATCAATCAGATCATCGATCTCACATCGATATCACAATATTTCCTTATCTGAGTCAGCTTCTCGAGCCGTATCTGGCCGTGCAACACTTACATTGTGACATATACTGTATGCAGACGTATTATTTTAAGCAACACATTAGGCTGACTAAACACTCAACTCAAATGTAATAAAGTCAGATCCCCTCGTGTTTTAGATGGGGCAGTATCATAAAACTGTTGTACGCTTTCAAACACTCGGTAGTTTATTTTTTAACGAGTTGTTCTGTATTCTCCTTGCAGGTGCAGCTATGTGGCTTGTATCCTGGATTATATGTTTAAGTCATCATGGATGTTTAAAGTTCATATTTGTCTAATATTAGTTTACTTTTCATTAATGAAGCATGACGCTGCGCTGTCCCTGTTTGTGATTGGTCAAATGTAGCTAACCCCGCCCCTTTCACGTGAACGCGTTCTCAGCTGGAGAGAGAAACCCTGGCTTGATTTAGCGAGTTGATAACCAGCGCCGTAGGACCGCTTAGCGAGATCTCGTTTGTTAGGGTTAGTTAAGATAACTCAAACATATCCAGGGTCTGTTGAACTGGCTTCGTGGTACAGGGCACAGGTGGCTGCATAGCAGCGCTAATGTCAAAGACACAAACATTATACATTATATTTTTCTTTTACCAGGATGCAGTGACACAAATATTTGGGAAGGCTTATCCTTCCCTAGCCTACAGTACCCGCCGCCCCTGCCTACAACGGAGGGGGGTCTGTAGCAGCAAGCTGGCGAAGCAGAAAGGAATGTACTTCCACAGACTGGAGCAGCAGCAAAACTTCATTTGACATCCAAATAAAAGGCCCATTAAAAAAAACACTATTCTGAAATAGGCCATTTGGCAAATTAAGTACCTACATGTTTTGATGCATCTACTTTTGTACTTTTACATAAGCGACATTTGACTTGTACATGTAACAGAATAGTATTACACTGTGGTATAACTTCACTTACTTGGGTATAAATGTCTCTTCCACAGCTGTAGCTCACACACAAAAACATGACATCAGATAGAACTTCATGCACAATTAAAATGGGTCTGAAGATGGTGTAACTTCAGAGAATATTCTGGACTAAGTGGCATAAGAGCAGGGTATAATAGCACAAGTGTACAAGCAGGGGTGAAATGTGCACTTTACAGTACAATAACATGACTATACATATAAGGGACTGAGGGCTCAGTGTTCCCATTAGACCAGTGCTTGTGTCCATGTGGGGTGCATGCTTCACTTCAATCATTAGGCATCTGTTCCACATGCTGTGACTCACCACCACACACCTGCTTATCTGACAAAAACAGACCAATCGATGACTCAAAGAACCGCACCGCTGTTAACTTAATCTCATTAGTCAATGAGACTGTCCCACACGCAGGTCAACAACATGAACTATACTGCCAAATCAAAACACAGATGTATTCAAACTTTGGGGGATACCACTTTCATGTAATTTGGTATAAAGGCTTCTGTGCATGTCAATGGTCTGCAAAGGCTAAATTCCCTGTGTTCCCCCCAGAGGGAGTTTCTCTCCCACACACTCCCCCCCTGCCTGAAGTGCCTCCATTGGACTTAATCAATAGATTACTAGCGTAACATAATGACATCACTATGTAACACTCACGTTTCTATTGAGTAATGCTCCAACAAATTGTCTGTGATAGGCTAATGGCAATGACACCTCTAAGCGGTTGACCAATCACAACAGACAGAGGGTGAAAAGAGGTGCTGCGGCACAGGCAGTATGAGAACAATAGGGCCCCTTTAAAAAAGTGTTAGTGGTGTGAGTCTTTTTACGTGTGTGTGAACGTGTGTGCGTCGCCCTGTGAAATGCGTCAACAATGCAGAAGAAGACATCACGTAGGTGTGGTGTGCAGCCATACCTTGTGATGCTTTAGTTAGCAATACATTGATAAAAAAGTATGTACATTCGTCACAGTCGTCATTTGATGCAATCATTTGACTTTTTTTGGATTCATTAGAAGATCGGCCAGTTTGTTTTCCTGCTGCTACGTGGAAGACGCCAAAGCTCTTTCCATGTCATTGTGATGTCCTGGTTTGAATGTTGGCCCGGACCTTGTGTCACCCACCCTCCATAGGAAGTTAAGTGTAAAGTAGTACATTGTTGGAAGAGGCCTTTCACACAAGGAGGTGCAATATCTTCCCCTCGCATAATTCAGACAAACCTCACAAGCAGCTTTTCGGTTTTATCTAGTCTGCTGAGATCACTTCAAAGCTAATCGTTTATCTTTCATTATGAGCTGAAGAATTACAAGATTAGATTGTCAACAGAAAATGTATCTCTTGCTTATTTAACAGATTCAGTGTTATAGTAATTTATCAAGCAATTTTACAATTTGTTATTGTAAACTTAGTACACTTAGTTAGACAGGAAGAATAAGACTCTGGATTCATTCATTATTTGATAATAATGGTTAAAAATGTCAGAAAATGCGGTTTTCAGTCTCTGCAATATGGAGATTTCCTACTTTTGTTGGGTTTTGGTCTGACAAGATATTTAAAGACATCGCCTTGGACTTTGAGGAACTGGGATGGGTATTTGATTCTCATTTCAGAAATGTTATAGAAAAAAATCCAATAATGGATTCACCAAGGAAATCATTGGCAATGCAAATAATCTTTAGTTGCAGCCTCTCTTATCACTGATCATTTTGTTTCTTTTTTTCAGACTTTTTCTGAGTATGTTTTCGTCCCAGAAACCAAGACCATTATCACAATCCAGTTTGAGTGTTACTGAGTAGAGTTAAAAGAGCTACGGCCAGGTACACATGACAGAGCTCCTGATAATGAAACCCATTGATCTACTTCTTCCCTTTTCTTATTTTCAAATATCTGACTTTAATACAGTTTGTTAATATGTTGACTTGTAGCCAGGGGCGGACTGGCCATTGGGAATACCGGGAGTTTTTCCGGTGGGCCGGTACCGAAGTGGGCCGGTCGGACAATTCACTAGCAGAATCATATAAGTACATCAGGTTTTATAGAGCCAAAACATTGCATTACTCAACTAGCTTTAGATAAGCCAGCCCTTTGTTAGTAATTTTATGTGAGTAACATTGACCTGAGATTACTCAAATCTATTTCCGAACTGTTTTCAAACACATGTCCTTTAATGGATAATAAAACTGTCAGTGACATTTTCCAAGTTCGGTAAATTGTATCTGAGATATTTTTGCAAGAAAGCTTACATTTAGAGGTTGCACTTTAAATGTGTAACCATGTGAACTTCGACAAGGCCAATTTGCATCTTATTGATCAAAACGTGACCTTAATGTTCAACCTGTATACTATGCAGTAGACATGTTTTAAAAAAACTAAATATGCAAGCATAATGTATAGCATACGGATAATGATGCTAAACAAAGGTGGAACATCACTACAACAATAAAGGGTGGGTTGCGTTGAATTATATCATACATAGCTCTCATGATTACCACTTTTAGCTTGAATCATTTCCGTTTTGAGGCTCGGTCAGTAGGGATCTGTCTATTTACTGATACAATGTTACATTTCTATGATTGACCCATGTTTGCTACTACATAAAAATACATCGCTATCAAATAAGAAAACGCTACAAAGCATCCCAAGCCGGCGTTTCCTTAGTAAAATAACCCGCGACAAGTAACAGAGAATTACTAACCCCGACTTCCGCTGATGACTTTCAAAATAAAGCCACACTTAACTAATGTGGAATACTCTTTTGTTGTCTTTCTCAAACTGTGTTTCACTTAACACGTCAAGTCAGGCTATTTGCATTGACTAAACCCACATGTGTTTAATATAGACTTTACGAACCAAAAGGCAAATGGAGCGGCCAGTTCAAAAGGAAAACGTATTTACGCGTTGGCATACCGTACACTTGTTTTTTCTTTACTTTCGTTCGGTTAACGCTGGTTTATTCTTTGATAAGACCCGCTCCCAAATGATGGCCTAACATGTTACTGTGGCTAACAAATATTCACGTTCCCTCAACAAAATGTCACAGCTGAGGTAAATGATAAAAAATGTGAAATAAAAATAATAAATGGCTTATTTTGAATGGGAACCTCCTAGCTTCCGGTAATGTCCGGGCTAAATGCGGTTACTTTGCCGGGACTTCAAACAGACGGGACTTCATTTTGTCCCGTTGCTTGAAAATGTTCAGGTAGCTCTATCTTCAGCGAATAAGTAGATAATGTCCCGTTTAACAGGAATTCTCGTTGTTCAGCGGGAACACTTTCAGGGCATCTTGTCAGTCTTACCTGTACCTCCTCCTGCCTATCGGTTTTGACAACCAGCCAACGCGATGTCCATTAGCATCAGTGCCGGTAAACAACTGGCTGCTGCGCTGCTCACTAGAGACGTCATGTGACGCTGCCGCTCATACTGTACACCAGTTCATGACTACAGTATGCATACATTATGTGTTAGGGCCAGTCTATGGTTAGGGCTAT